AAGATATATGTAACTTCTTTTTTCTTACTCCTGTTGATGTTTTGAACAAAAAAGGTTGTGAGCATCTGAGTCACTAGCAGCTCAATTTCCTTTTCTCTAATATCCTCAACTGTATTACTTATTTATTTATACTCCGCCTTTATTATTTTCACAAATAACTCAAGGTGGCAAACATTCCAACCCACTTTCCTCCTTCTATTTTCCCCACAACAACAAACCTGTGAGATGAGTTTGGACTGAGAGAGATCACTGCTTCCCAAGCACATCCAGACAGGCCTATAATCTATAATGTCTTAATCTATAGAAGCTTTAGAAAGTGTCTCCCCACTTTAAGGAGTGTAGACTTCAATTCTTTGAATACCCCGGTCAGCAATTCTCTCATTAGGCTTCTCCATTGACTTTGCTTGTCAAAAATAACACAGCAGGTGATCAAGACATTGCAACTGTCATAAATATGGACTACCTGTATAACAGACCTAGCAGACCCTCCTCTTCATGTCCATGGCATAGTGCAAGAAAGGAAAATGACAAAAAAAGAAGTCAAAACCAAAGCCATAGCAACTACAAGCTATAGAAATGTCACCTATTCCTATATAGGTGATCCTCCAGTTCCTGCTGCCACCTCAAACCTAGAAGTTTCCAAACCTCTGGTGCACTAAGGTTGGCAATTCCCAGATGACCATCATCAATGGAGCTTACTGAAAACTAGCAGACCTGAGTAGTCATCACCGTTAAGCTGTTGCCGGCACCACACCCGATATAGTTTTGCAACCAGCCTCATCTTCAGGAAGATGCCTCTCCAGACTGGACTATCATGTGGCTGGAATTCTTGTGCTGCCATCCAGCTTATCAGCGATACTGAATTGGCTTTGCCAACTCTGATTTCAATCCACCAGCTTTTAATGGCCACCTGACTACGCTCCAACCACTCAGCAGGTCATTCCAGAGGACTAGCTCTCTACCAGCCTCCCAAGCCACTGCTGCTGTTTCTTGTATTGCACCAAACCAAGAAGGTCTTTGCAAGCCTCCAATTATCCCAAACACTTCAGACACTCAGATAATTGCCAAATCCTCTATATACCAGCAACTAACACTGATCCTGACATATTTTTAAAAAATAAAATTCTCTATTACATGTAGCTAAATAGATATAGCAAGATAGGGAAGATTTTGAACTAGAATTGTTAATAATCCTACTCAGCATGTGAATTATATTAATTATCTAAATGCAGCCTAAGTCTGAAGAGTATCAAACTGTATGTGCCATATCTACCTAATTGACTTGGACCCTGGGTATTTTCCAAACAACCTGGTCCAAGAGGAATCTTCCTTATGTCCATGGAGGGAATACATGCTAAAAATCTACACAACCACACAATGGCAGGAGGAAAGTTGGAAGTGAACATTCTCTTGCAATTCTTCTTTTATAAAACAGTTTTCTTCCAGGGATAAGAACACTCCATTTCTTTTAATATTTCATAACTTAGTAATGCCTTATTTTTGCCTTGGAGAACTGAGGAAAACCACTCTACATTACCCTGGGATACATTATGGGCAGGTGGTATCATGTTTTTACTGTATGTATCTTAAATTTTTGTATACCTGGTTCTGGGATATATTTTTATTAAATATATATTTATTTTATATCTCTTTTACTATCATTGTCATAATCAGTATAAAATCTTGCAAGCTGCTTAGTGTAAAAGAAGCAGTATAAACAATAAAAGGGCAAAATGATTAAAAATTTGATGAAGAAATGCTTAAGAACAGGTTGAATACATATTTATCCATATGATTTCATTTGAATTCCTGCACCAAACAAAGAATTAAATTAAATCCATAGATTTTCAACTCTGATTTTTCATGTTTAAAATTTTCAGTAGTGGGGAAGTGTCAATAAATATAATCTACTTTTAAAAGCTAAGATTAAAACCAAATGAATGCTATGCTTAAATAAAAGATTAATCAATTTAGTCAAGTGATTTTGCTGCATTGATCTATTATATTGTAGGATTAATCTGTATATCATGTTTATTGCTATTAATTACCATCTGCCATTTTTAATGAAGCCTTGTTGATCAGACATAGTTTTGTTCCATTTTCTTTCATCAACAAAATATTTTGCCAACTATTTAAGTTTCAATTTAAAATAAGAATAAAAATCATAAGATAATAAACATGCTTATTATAATCTGTAACATTATATGTAAGGGTGTTCTAAGAACTTGGGAAAATTAACTTTTGAAAGATTCTATTCTATTCAGTGACAATTCATTTTGTGCAGACTAAAATTAATTTTCCACTGAAACAAGTGTATTTAATGTGCCTGGCTTTTGTTATTTCAATTGCAAAATACGAAAGTGGGAAGATGAGTTTAATTCTTTCCTCCCACATTAATGTGCTGAAGAAAGTCTGTCTCTCAAATGGCATTTGCCTATCAGGCTGGGAGTTTCCACTGATATCTTGCAACAGCACTATTTGCATTTTTTCTCTCTATATATATCCCCCTAAATGGGTAGGTCTTTGACTGTACATGTATATACTTGCCAACAGAGTATAATGATTCATATATAAGATAAAATAGGTTTTAGTTTATTAATGTTTCAACCACAACAAATCTGTTGATTTATTAAACCTGGAATCATTAAGAAATGGAATGGAATGTACTACTGACTCAATAGCAATGTCCTTATATAACTCTAAGATTGACTGATTGATGAGATTTAAAGATCAAGCACCTCCACAACAGCCCTGGCAGCTTACACTAAAAAAAAAAAAGTTTGTGTCCAGACAATTATGCTCCCTATAACAAAAAACACAACTAGCAGGGGACTCAACAAGCACTCTGCTCCAAGGCTTGGGAAAAGAGTTTATAAAGACTTTAGAAATTATCATCAAACCAAAAGAGCTTGGAAGGAGGATGACAGTGGAAATACCATTGCAGAGAGCAGATGCTAAACACTTCTTGACTCCTGATAGATGACATTGTTTGATAGATGGCCATGCTATATAAGAAATAAAGCCTTCTCTGAAATAAAGCCTTCAAACCTCAATAATATCATACATTTGAAAAGAACAGACAAGAGGGAAAGAGCAGAACCCTCTGAGGAAAAACTACATTGATTGGGGTCTTTTAGCCTGATGGTAGTCATTATAAAAATAAAAAAGCCAGTTTGGCATTATGTTTAAGGTATTGGACTAGAAGGGTCATCCAATTCTATCCTCTCATCCATGGAAACTCACTGAATGAGTTTGAGTAAATAATTCTCTCTCAGCCTAACTACCGGTTCTTTAAAGATTAATAATTGTAGGGAAAATAAGAGGGAATGTTATGCCATCTGAAGCTCTTGAACGAAAGGCAAGATACAGATCGAATATATGTATAAAATTTAAAATACAAATACAGACATATTTTGGTTTCACTCCTTTGGAGGTTGGAATAGACACAGTCAATTCTCCTTTGCTCATTCATGTAATCGGCAATATTGGTGTCATTATTCAATATCATCATTAGTCAAAGAAGGTGATGATTGGTGAAATAACCTGCCATTTTTTTGCCAGAGTGTCTCTCAAGACATTGAGTCAAATGCCACTTTCAAGTGTACAAAGGAAGAATAGGGAAAGCCTCCTGATAGGTGCACTTCACTGGCAAGTGGCACAACTAAGTTTTTTTTTTTCTAGGTTCATCCAATCAGTGAACTTTTGATAAAGATATTTCACAAACAATTTGCTGATTATGCACATCAAATTGATTGGATGATAATTGGCTGTGCTAATCCTAGCATTTTTTTTTAATGGCACTATTACAAAGTCACTCTATACCAGGAGTGTCCAACCTTGGCAACTTTAAGACTTGTGGACTTCAACTCCCAGTT